TCGAATTGAATTCGAATCCGATGAATCGATAATGAAATGGTTAAAACTTTTAGTTAATCTTATACCTTGTTTTGATTGGGATAAAAAACAAAATGAACCATCGAATCGTCCATACGTTATACATAATGAAATTGTATGGAATACATATCATCATCAACCGATTGAATCATCAAGACAATCGGATCAAAATGTTGAACAAGATGATCAAAATGATCAGGATTTTTCAGATGATTCGGATAGCGATTCTGATACCGATAGCGATTCAGATACCGATACCGATAGTGATGATACTATCGTTAATAGTGAAAGTGATACATTAACTGAAAATGAAAGTACTGATTCCGATAAATGATGTAAAAAAAAACAATAAAATTTTTTTCAATTTTATGTTCGAAATTGAGCACATCTATTTTATCGATATATGACTATTTTAGTTAAAATAGTCGGATAGCCTGTAGTGTACTATCAATGTACTTCCTATTTCCATACTTGTGTGTGTGTGTTTCGAACTTTGTTTTGAGAATCATTTTCATTTTCGTCACACAAGCCAATAGTTGGTGACCCGTACACGATTTCTTCATTATTCATTATTCATTTTACTTCTGAAAAAATGAAAAATTCTGAAGAGGATTCTTGCACCAAACCCGACTGATGAAACTTTTGAGCTCATAAAAAAATATATGAGCCGAACTGCAGCAGAGCATGATCGATCGGCTTCGAAGCCTTGAAAAAACACGTGGCGGATCAACGCGATATTAAGATCGTCATCCAAAAAAAAAACCACGTGTTTTTGTTTTTCTTACTTAAGTGTGGCTTACGCAATACAATTTCTTGTGGCATAATCCAATATCGATAAATATCTGTGTTGACCGATTCTTTGGTGGTTAAAAAATCAAAAAGACTTGAATATTCAACAATCCCAACCTGGATCCTAATGATATTAATTTATTCGACCTTACTTATTGAACGTCTGGACTTGCTTGAATGTTTCCTTACATTTTTTGGATATTGGATAAACCACTTTCTTCTTACTTATTTACTTCCCTGGTTAATTGCCTTTTTTATTTTTGATGTTTATTTTTTTTTATCGACATCAAACAATCTTCAATATGGCTTAAACATGGAATCGTATCACCATAAGAAGAAGCGATATTCTGTAAGATTCAGGACCGAAATCTATCTTATTATGTTCAAAAAATGTTATCATTGTTAATAAAATTAGTGCCTTCGGGCAGCGTGCGTTTGTTCAATAAATTATTAATATTATTTTATGAAAAAAAAACTTAAATTTTATTTTATTAAAAAAAAAAATAATTGTTCAACTTTCTGGTATAAAATCGATCATTCCAAATCCGAATTACTTTCGTTTACTTTACACTAAACATTTTATAGAATCTTTGTTTTTTAAAAAAAAAACCAACTACCAAGATTTATTAAAATGGATATTTCCAACCAAAATTATAAACAAGATGATGATGATGATGGTAATCAATATTGTGATTTTATATTCGTAAATGAATCATTTACAAATCAACTAAAATATCTATTAATTTTATTCGGTTGCTTTTGTTTAATTTCCATTTTTATTTGTTATTTAACAGCTAAATTGCTGTAAATAATGATATTTATTTTTAATAATGTTTTTTTATAATTTCCAATAAATATATTTATTTATTTATTTATGAATATATTCTATATGCTTTTAATCAATTTCATTATAAATTTCAATCAAATTAAATTA